ACAACCCCAGAAACCCTATGCAGAGCCATTATGAGTCAGAATCTACTCAATGGTCATGATTCATTATACATATTTATAAATCATTGCTGACTCATAGTAACCCTATATGACAGGGTGGAACTTTCTTTCAAAGGGGCTGTGAATTTCGGAGATTATAACTGCATGTGGAGTAGAAAGCCCAGTCTCTCTCCCGTGGAGTGGCTACTGGTGTCAAACTGTGGTCCTGTAGACTGCAGGCCAATGTGTAAGTACTACACCACCAGGCCTCCTGATGTCTGCATACAACAACAAAATAACTGTGTTATCTTATGCTTCTGGAGGCCCAAAGTCCATAGTGTGGGCCATGTTGTTGACTTCTGGGGACTTCTCTCCTAGTTTCTGGTGACAGCCAGCGATCTTTAGCATTCCTTTGCTAATAGAAGATTAATCCTTCTCATGGTGACTATCTCTCTCCCTTGGGTGTTTCTTTGTCTATTGAGCTCTTTAAGTAAGACATCACTCAGAGAAATTAAATTTAGGATCCACCCTGCACTGGTATAGTCCTATTGGCATAGCATAAAAGCCCTTTATTTTCAAACAAGGCCTTATTAACAGCTGTTGGGCTTAGGGTTTCATATTTAGGAACATAATACAATCCACAACAAATACTGATTCCAGACCAACAGACATGAAGTGAGGCAGGGAAAGAGAGACACTCAGAGATGGTGCATGATCTAGATCTTGTGGCATAGTGGTGATACATCGGGCTGAAGTTTGAAACTACCAGTCATTCCAAGGGGAATAAGATGTGGTTTCCCAGTCCTGTGAGGAATTATAGTGTTGGAAACCCACAGAGGCAGTTCTACCCTGTCCTATTATGAGCTGTAATCAAAGAGAGTTTGGTTTGGGTTATCCAGAAGTTGAGCCCTAGTAGTGCTGTTGGCAAACATTGGACTTCTAACCTCGAGGTCATTGGATCAAACCCACCAGTTGCTCTGCAGAAGGAAAATGAGGATATCTCTTCCCGTAGAGATCTGCAAAGCGTCTGAAGCCCTATATCAGGTCACCATGAGTCAGAATCAACTTCATGGTAGTGGGTTTTGGTTTTTATCCAGAAGTTGAAGACCTTGAATGGTGAAAATAATAAACATTCTTGGAGGTTCAAGAGGATGAAGGTTCAAGTTCAACTCTAGTTCTTTCTCAGAAGAAAGATGAGGCAATCTACTTCTGAAAAATCCAGCTATTAAAAACCCACTGGTCACAGTTTTACTATGGCAGACATGAGTCACTGTGACCCAGAATTGACTCAATGGCAATTTATTTGGCCGCTATTGTTGTGTGTTTTAATCAGTTTCCATATGTGCAAAGGAGTTCAATTGGGATTTCTGGAACTCAGTGCAGAACATGCTTCACATTTAGCGCACTCATATGGCACTGGTTGAGGGCACATAGCAGAAACTCCCTGAATGTATGGTTTACTGTGCATGTGAGCAGAATACCAAGTGTTTATGCTTAGGATGAAATACGGTGTATCAATGTACACAGGAGAATGGAAATGGGCTCACACTGGCTGTATATATGTATCACAGACCAGAAATGGTTCTTTAGACAGGAGTCAAGAAAACATTTCTGAAGAGATGGCATTTTAGGTGAAGTGTGAAAGATGTAAAGGAGTCAGCCAAGAAAAGCAAATTTCTACAGAGACTATCAAAGACAAGATCCCTGAGTGGGACTGAGTGAGACACAGGCTCTGAGTCTAGTTTGTTTATGAGAGGACTGTCTTTGAGATTTCAAGATAAGGGAATTCAGTCATTGAGAAATTAGGGAACTTTCCCAGAGAGTTATAGAGATGCTGAGCCAGAGCTGAGGCCAACACTCGGGCCCTTTGGCTCTCAGTTCAGGCTTCCTTCCTTCACTATACTGTCTCCCCCATTATTTTTTATCATTTCCTGCATTGGGATCTGACAATTTCCCCAGCTGTGGAGATGTTATGATCCCTGCTCAAATGCCTGCAGTGTAACACTTCATTTCTTTATTTGGCCAATGGACATGATCATTTCAACTTTAGTTGAATGATCTAAAGTGAAATGAGGCCACATGTATAGAATTACTATAAATTATTGAACATATTATATAAGTGCAAGATTTATTTTTTTTTAGTGGAAGATAATTCTGAGTTTGGGTGAATTAACCAAATTGGAATAGTAGTTTTATTCTCAACAGAAAATCTTCATGAGTATTAGAATTGATCATAGACCTCGTCAGATAGAGAAGAGCTAGTCCGTTGTATGTAAAAGTATTCAGGGAGAGGAATGGAGCCTTAGGGCACCACAGATTTGCTGGTGACCTAAGAGAAGTGGTAGGAACTTGTCTCTGATGGACTATCTATCCTTGTTCTTTCAAAGGGGCTTGTGGTAAGAGGAGAGGAATATAGATGAAATGATTGCCTCCTTACGTGTCTACTTTGTTCCTTATGGCCTGGTCATTATAATCTACAGAGGTAAAATGTGCTGATCACACACAGTTTATAACTGCATTTTACAGGAATCATTGTGTTGAATCTTCCCCACAACCCCGTGAACTCCATTAAACAAACAAGAAACCATTATGTGAGTCCAAGCCTATAAAGCCAGTGACTTGTAGGTAGCAGAATCAGCACATAAGCCCAAGCAAATGCTCGTATCCATACTGCTAACTTTGTTCACAAAGTGATAATGGACTTCAGAAGGAAGAGAGAAACAACCACCACTCAACTAAATCATGGAACAGTCTATGCTTTTATAACATACTATTTAAAGTTGATCTTTCCCGGAGGCATGTTTTTACTTCTACCCCCTCTCCCTCCATCCACAGGGATTTATGGACATTGACCTAAACAAGTTCAAGGAGAGTGGAGCAAATGTGACAGGTTTCCAGTTGGTGAATTACACAGACACCATCCCAGCCAAGATCATGCAGCAGTGGAAGAACAGCGATGCTAGAGACCACACCCGAGTGGACTGGAAGAGACCCAAGGTGAGCAGGCAGCCAGCGACCAACCTGAGACTGAGGAACTGGTGTTCTGAGAGGAAAGGGCAATGGAAAATGGACCTTCAATGAGTAAAGCTAGGCTGTAAGAATCAGACACTCAGAGTGATGATGGTGCTGGCAAAAGAGGCATTTTATCTTTCTCCCATGTAAACAAAATTCATTCCAGGGCCTAGCAAATGACTCTAAACTCTTTAAACTTCCAAGATGCTAGTATTTTTGTCTACCATCAGAAGCATATGACTGTTACATTATAGAACAAGCTATTGCCTCAGAATTCTAAACAGCAGATGAAAGAAAAATGAAAAGCACAATTGCTACCTTGAAAACATTTTTCAGAAATCACACATAGACCTTGGGCTCACATGTCATTGGCCACATCTTAGAAACCTGTCCCCAGATGGCTTGCAAGGGAGGTTAGAAAATGGTGTCTCGATTCTTGGCAGGGTTTCCATGTTGCCCCACTGCAGTGGGGGTGTTACTTGCATTTATTTCTATGTGAATAAAGACTCCTTGAATTGGGCAAAGTGGCAGCCCTTATTTTAGACAGCTGTGAGCCCTGGTGGCATTGTGGATTATGCAGTGGCTTGCTTACCACAAGTTCAGCAGTTAAAATCCACCAGCCATTCCATGAGAGAAGGATAAAGTTTTCTGCTCTTATAAAGATATACAGCCTCAGAAACCCAAACAAGCAGTTTTACTTTGCCCTACAGGGTCCCTATGAATTAGAAATGACGCCCTGGCTGTGAGTTTGGTGTTTTGGCTTTGGGATGTGCCCAAGTAAAATCCAAGGGGATCTAACTAGGTAATTCTCAGCAGGTCTCAGCGTCAGAGCGTCCTTCAGCATGCAGGCAGTCTGCCTCTCACTTCTGACCAATGCAACTCGAAATGCTGCAGCCAGAATTTATTTTGTTTGTTATTTGAGGGTCACTTAGAAGAAGAATAGCAAGTACTTTTTCTTTCCCCTGCCAAATCCAACAGTATGGCAGTAGCTGTGGGCAACACTAAGTTGAGAAGGATTCCGGAGCCAAATTCGTCTATCTGGGACTCAACAGTGGATTGGGGCAGACTTTGTCCTACCAGTCGGTCATTTTGGTGTGAATGACAGAATGTCTAGCTGAGATGCATCTCATCCCACTGGCCTGCAAACGGATCGGGCTCTTCCCAGAGCGACAAAGCTAAAACTCACTTCCATCGAGTAGATTCTGACTCAAAGTGACCCTATAAGACAAGGTCGAACTGTCCAGTTGGTTTCCAAGATTTCACTCTTTATGGGAGTAAACAGCCTCTTCTTTCTCTCATAAAGCAACTGGTGGTTTCAAGCAGTTGACCTTGAGGTTAGCAGTCCAACATATAACTACTACCATCCCAGGACTCCCCTCCAAGAATGAAGAATCTCACCCACCACTGCAGTAATTGACTTTGACAACATCTACATATTAAATAACAATGACGTTTTTTCTATGCTCCCTGGTGGCTCAATTATTAACCACTTGGTTGCAAACCAGAAGGTTCAGGGTTGAATCTGCAAGCCACTCTGCTGGAGAAAAGACCTGGCAGACTGCTCCCTGAAAGATTACAGTCTCGGAGACCCTGTCAGGCAATTCTACCTTGTCCCATAGGGTATCTATGACTTGGACCTGACGCAATGGCTCGCAACAACAACCTGTCCTTTCTCATCATCTTGAAGTACAGTGATGATGATGTTTGTTTAAATTTATTATTTCACAACCAAATACCTAAACAAAGTGGAACTGTTAGCAGCCGAGTGCTTAGCAACTGTGCCACTTAACGAGTATGTGGATCTTTTCAAAGTCAATGACTCATTCCAAGAGAACAATCCCATGTCATCCTTACATTTTCCATCACGTTCAATCCAATATGGGAATATCCTTTCTCACATCCAAAGATTGGAGCAGCTTGCCAAGAAATCCATATGCAATAGAAGTGTTTCAGATGTAAGGTGGGAAAGACTCCGAGCCAGAAATTGGAAAGACATATATACATACATTCTACAACTTTCTATTATTAGTGTACAATGTGCCAGGCAGGAAGCTAAGTATTAGGAGCATATTAGTGAAGAAATAGATGTCAGTTCCAAACCAAGAAATCCTGCCCTGGACTATCATCCTGGTCTTGTTTCATCCAACCTTAGTCCCCAGATGGTTAACATAGAAATAATATACATATTGAGAATTTTTAAGGTTAAGAACAAGAGGAAAATTTGCAGGAGGTAACCTCAGGACTTGGGCAAGTCATGAGAAATAATTAAAGGCTTTCTCTTCTTGGATTCTTTTGTTCTTTTACTGTCACAAGAGATAGTGGAGTAAATAATTCCTCTTGGCTCCCAATTGGTCATTGTAACACAGAGAAAATTAACTGGTCCTTCAGGGGTATATCTGGCCACAGACATGTTCTATTTCACTGGTGCTCTCCTCCCCACCCACCCCAGCAGCAACTCAAGTTTAAAGCACGGAAGACTGCACACAGAAATCTAGAATTCTAGCTTCTCTTCAAAAATCATCCCCGGCAAGATCCAACTCACAATTCAGAAGGGCAGTTCCTTGTTTACCACAGGCCCCCCTTCGCCTGGCCCTGTGCACACGCTGTCACTGCTCCCACCATATTCACCTCTCTCTGTTCCCTACCTGTCTCCATTCCTCCCACCAGTACACCTCTGCGCTCACCTACGATGGAGTGAAGGTGATGGCTGAAGCGTTCCAGAGTCTGCGGAGGCAGAGGATCGATATCTCCCGCCGGGGGAATGCTGGGGACTGTCTTGCTAACCCAGCTGTGCCCTGGGGCCAGGGTATCGACATTCAGAGAGCTCTGCAGCAGGTAAGGCCCCTCCTGGCAGC